GAAATATGCTGCTAGAAATGTCTGAACTAAGTGCCATACTCGTCTGGGTAAGATTTGGGAAATTTAGCAACTGTACCTCATAAAAAAAAAAAAAAAAAAGAGAATCAGTTAAACATCACATAGTAGACAGCCATTAAATTATAAAAAAATTAATTTATGAAGAAAGACCTTTTGTACAGATTGAAAAAAAAGATTTTCATAGAGATATCTATATGATCAAGAGAGTTAATTTTTTATTTTTGTTTTACTAGTGCCACAAACTTGCCAGTGGTAACTTATTTGTCCGGTTCAAGATAACTCTGTAGTTTTCTTTCCTAGGACTTGTTGTTAAACGCCAAAAGACACTTTTGAACTGTACATTTGATCAGATTGTTAGCTTTTTTCTGTTTTATTTCTTTTGACAACCTTTGAATAAAAAACTCTGAAACGTTTTTCTTCCTGTTGTTTTTTTTTAAGTAGGTTAAATATATGTATATCAATTTCATTTCACTTCTGATCTCTTCAGCTCAGTAGATTGGTTTGGAAATGAGTTGAAAATTACATCAAATTCAGTATGTTCTCAAAATACATTTTCTTGAAAAGAATTGGGAAAATCTTTCCACACTCTTCTTGATGGTTATTTAAATCTATGTAGTGGATCAGAGACATCATCAACACACCACACCTCGTCTTGGGAAAACTCCAGCCCAAAATGCCCAACTGTTTTTGTTTTGGTTTTAATGGTGCTGGGGATCAAACCAGGGCTTTTTGCATGCTAGGCAAGTGCTGTACCACTGAGCTACACTCCCAGCCCTGTTGTTCTGTTCTTAAAATTGTTCTGTTCTTCAAAGAATCAGACCCCTTTCATTCTTTGCTTGCTGCTACCTTTTTGAGTGTTTCATTGCTTAGGAGGATGAAATAAAAACTGTCTCCCACCTGCAGTAAGCAAGTGAATGAATAAGGACATCAGATCACCTCATCCAAGCCTTTGTGACCAAGCCCTCTTTTAAAGTGACCTTTTTGGGGCCAGGGATTTAGCTCAGTGGTTCTGCCACCTGCCTCGCTAAGCGCAAGGTCCCAAGTTCAATCCCCAGTACACAAAGAAAGAAAGAAAAAGAAAGAAAGAAAGAAAAGAAAGAAAGAAAGTGACCTTTTCTGGCTGTTCCCGGTAGGAGGCTCCCACTCTCATACAGCATTTGCGCTATGCTAATCAGGGGCCCTGTCATAGTGGTAAAAGGACTAGCAAAAAGATCCACTTCCCTCCATGTCTGCGTGCCTCCCTGCTGTGTAGAGGCATGACTTAAACAGTGTGACTTAGGAAATGAAGCTTAGACAAGGGTGAATTACAAGATTTCACTTGCCAGAGCCAAGAAAGCCGGGGCACTTGGTGGCTCTTTGAAAAGAGGAAGCCTGTACCCCTGATACCAGTGCTTCTGGGAGAAATGTCAGAGCACAAGAAGCAGGGTTGCTTTGAGACAGACAAAGCTGCTAAGAATGTAAGCTGTGACCTCATTTTTTGTGCCACACATGTAAGTGCTCTTTTACATGACCAACAACCACGGAGGTGGTGGGGAGAGACATTATTTAGGCTATTAGACACCTTAGGTATCTTAAGAAAGTTCAATGTCAGAAGTCCCAGGTGCATCCATCTGGCTACATTATACAGTTGTCCCCTGATAATGGACAGGACTGGCTCTGAGACTCCTGCAGATAGCAAGATCTGCTTGTGCTCAAGTTCCTTATATAAAATGGCATAGTGTTTGCATATAACCTGTGTCCTCCTGTATGCTTTGAATCATCTCTAGATTACTTAGCAATACAATGTAAATGCTATATAAATAGCATACTATTCCTTGGAAAATAATGACAAGTCTATATGTTCAGTGCAGGTGCTTTTTTTCCCAAATGTTTTCCATCAGAGATCGATTCAATCCACTAATGCAGAACACAAATTGCAAACTGTATGCACAAATTAATAAATACTCTTAGGACCACCTCTTATGTGTAAAAGAGAAGATTAAACCAGAGTGATGTTCAGAGAAAGTGATAGCTCATGTTTACAAAGGAAAGAGGTGACACATTTGCAAAACAGCCATGCTTTGCTATGAGGCTGTGTCTCCTCTGATAAGGTAGGTTGCTGGGTGGGAAGGAAATGTGGCAGTTGCTCACTAGTGTGAGATTTCTCCCTCTTGAATGGCTGGGGTGAAGTGGAAGGATGCAGGGGAGCCACCTTGCCACTCAGATGTCCATGCTGTCCCTGGACAGTGGCACTAGGTATATACACTAGAGCCTGAATTCCACCTCAGAAACTCCACCAAACCTGATTAAAAATTCACTAGGAGAAAGGTGATGCCACCCTGCTCCCATCTTTGCTCAGGAAATGTTAAAATCTGAGTGATGATAGCCTCATTCCACTAGGAAAGGCAAAAAGGAAGAGATCTAGTGACAGACAAAGGTCATTAACATGTCACAACCATCCCTTTCCAGAAAGAGCCTAAGAAGGCATCAAGTAGGTGGGGAAGGGAGGAGAACTCAGCAGTTTCTTCCCCTCCCATAGCAAAGTGATGAGATAAGCCCTGAGGGCCAGGGTGGGAACAGACTGGGCCTTGCAATGGCAGTCACTTGTGTGGTGGTGGGGCATTCTTGGCATAGCTGGAGGCATCCTGCCTGCATGTCCTTCATGTGGGATCAACTGCATGCACAGTGGAATTTCAGTGCTGTGAAATTGCACCATTGTCTCCTCCATACATGTTCTGCATCTCTGGGAGGCAAGAGAGTGTTTTGAGTTTAAGCCACTAGAGGGAGGATTTTACTCTTCAGCCTTCTTCTGTAAGAGTCACAGCATGGACCATCATAGTTGGCACTGCTGGCAGCCACCTGGCTCAGGAGTGAATATTAAGGCTCAAGGAAGCTGAAGGCAGGGAGGAAGCCACAGTGCTTGGCAACCACATGACAGGAGTGAGAAAGCCCTGGCAGGTCTCTGAGCTGCTCAGAATTGAAAGCAGATGACTGGATTGAATACAAATGCTAATGCTATTATTTTTCTAAAAATTGTGACTCCTCAGAGGCTAAGATTTAATCTAGATCATTCCATTG